AGCCAGGGCAAGACCCACTTGAGGCAGCCGGGCAACACCAGGAATGCACCTCTGCTGCCCGAACCGGCACTGGGGAATCATATCGAGAGGAGGCGACTGTTCCAGTTGGGCAGGCGCGATCTTGTTCAAGACATATCGAGGGTAAACTGGATAGCGAACCCTCGGATGGTCGACGATGTGGCGGCGCAGCAGCCGATCGCGGTCATCGAGGAGATCGCATCGATGAAGGGGGAAGGAACTGAAGATGGGCCAGGGGTTGACCAACAACCTGCAGCCTCAAAGCCTGGGCCTCCAAGCGGCGGCAACACTGACGAGACCATGGGGGGGGGGGGGGGGGGGGCGGGGCAGCCCAGGGAGGTGAAACGTGGCGGTGAGAAGCACTCAGTCAAGAATGACCTGCAGACCAAGAAGGATGATGCTCATGACGACCGAGCTCAACTTCAGGTGCCTGCCAGTATCCAGAGGCATATGGAAGAACGCAAAGAGGCAGAGGAGACGGCAGCAACACCGACGGCAACATCAGAAGGTCAGCAGGGTACAGCAACATCGAGTACTAGACAGCCAGAGCAGCATCAGGGCGGCGAGCGCCAGGAACATCCCGTGGCGCTTAAGGAGTTCCCGTTTGGCGACGTGCCCATCGGCTTCGAGCGCGCGAAGGGGCAGACGGGGCCAGTCAAGCAGCTGGCGGAGACATCACTCCTGGTTGAAGCTTTCGCTGCCGAGCGGATGTGCACGCAGCCGACAAGGGCTAACGCGCGTCAGGAGATCAAGCTGAAGACGCTGGACGACGACTTGCTTAAGCGGCAGAAGATGCAGAGTGCAGTGGAGAAGGAGTGGAAATACTTGGTGCAAGTACGATGCGGCAGCCCGCATATCAGGGGCAGCGGATGAGAGGATGACCCTGGCAATCTCCTAGGGTCCAATGTGGTCTGGACAGACGGAGACCATGCAACCTTTGAGCCGAAAGCGAGAATCTGTGGACGGGGCTGCGAGGAGGAGTTCGATGCCAATTTAATTCGAAACTCTCTGACAGTCTCAGCGCAGATGACGCTGCCTCTGCGCGGCGTCGTATCGAGCCTTAACTTGGACCTAGTCGTTGCAGATGCGAAGGGAGATTTTCTACCAGGCAAGGCGATCACGCGCGAGCTCAACTTCCGGACCCCGGCGAACCCTGGGAAGTGTGCCATCCCACGCGTCAAGGCAGTCGACCTGCTGAAGCTTAACAAGAGCATCTACGGGGCCAGCAATGCGGCGAGAGCTTGGTACGCGGCGCTGCGCGAGACGCTCGTGGAGCTGGGGTGGGAAGGCCTGAGCTTCGAGCCCGCGACCTTCATTCAGCGCAACATGGAGAACACGATCATAAGGATCATGTGTCTAAACGCGGACGACTTGCTCATGGGCATCAAGCAGGACGACCCTGAGGGCGCCAAGATCATGCAGGACCTTCAGAAGGGGATTGGCTTTGGTGAGGTCAAGCACGCTAGGCAGGAGAAGGCGACATTCTGTGGCCGGTCCTATCTGCAAGACAAGGGCGGCAGCATGAACGTTCTCATGGAGGCTTACGCGAAGTCTATGCAGACTGTGCGTGTCTCCAAGGAGCGCAGCAAGGCACCTGACAGTGCACTGACCCCAGCAGAGCATCGAGGACTGCGAATGGTGGCTGGACAACTGCAGTGGGCTGCGCGAATGATTTGTTTCGAAGACGCGTTCGAGGCATCCCGATTTGCATCGACGCTGGGAGCCCCGACGGTGAAGGATCTACGGGGCGGGAATGCAGCTATTAGGAGCATCCAGAAGCGGGGCGACCTACTCATCAAGCTCACAGCTGGCCTGAACCTGTGGAAGACGATGGTAATCAACGTGACCGATAGTGCTTTCCACAACCTGCCGAAGATCAACGAGGACCACGGCAACAAGTACAAGGTACATTGCGTCGGGTGGCAGTCTTCAGAGATTCAACAAGCGGTGCGATCTACTCCGTCGGCGGAGGCATGCGTCTGTGCAGATTCTGTGGATATTCTGATTTGGGCCAGGTCCACCTTGGCGGAGATCCTATACCCAGAAGTGGATGCGGCCGAGATCGTGCATGAGACCTGCCCGGTGACATGCATCTCGGTGACTGACTGCAAGAGCCTGTATGGCACCATCACGAAGGAGATGGTGTCTATGACGGACTGGAGGTTTTCTCTGGAGGCGGCTATACTACGTCAGTCACTAAAGGAGGCCAGCATCAAATGGGTCAAGAGCGAGCAGATGCTAGCGGACTATTTGACGAAAGTGCTTCCAGGAGGCTACGCGAGGAAGATTGTGATATCTAACTTGTGGACCCTTGGACCTGATGACAGAGCGCCATCAATGCGCGGACGGAAGCTAGCTGGACCAGAGAACGTGTTAGCCATCAAGGAGGTCGGCGACCTGAACGCGAAGATGGCTAAGTACGTCAAGCAGGAGCCGCGTGACGACCCCGATGGGGATGCTGAGATGTCCACCTGGCCGGTGGAGACGTACAACTATGTGGGCGAGTGCTTCTATGACGACAGGGATGAGAACAATGGCGAGACCGAGTACGTCGAGACATTCTACATGGACGATGCGATGGGCAACTACCCAGTGGATAGGAGTTGTGCGCATCGAACGATCCAGATACCTGACCAAGTTGCGGTTCTGCTTCAACTCTGTGAACTTGCTGTGTGTGGGGTTTGTCTTTCGATGTCTCCTACGGTGGTGACATTAGTATCGATGGTTGTGGGAGTCACCATGGTTATCAACGTAACGCAGCCCAAGCAGAGCGACGACGAGGATTTGAGCATGGCACCGATGGATGTGGACAGTTCGAGCAGCGACATCATTTCAGGACGGAGGTTCCCAAGCAGGCAAAGCTGAAGACAGCCGCACTAAGGCTGAAGGCTGAGCCCGAGGTGGGGACGTACTCCGACGATAGTATGGAGGATGGACCGATCTACCTGGGGGGCAGTGCTCTCCTGAGGCAATGGTTGGCTAACCTGGGATTGATGCGCATCAAGAGTGGAAGCTACGCGGGCAGCAGCTTCGCATACATATCTAGCAAGGACAAGCACTACGCCAATGGCATGGGCCGGTGTCTGAAGCTGGACGCAGGCGAGAGCAGGAGCTACAGTCTGGATTCGAGCATCAAGACATACATTGCTTACAGCCGTCAAGTCAGCTCAGTTACTCTGAGATTTCACTGCCAATTTTGTGTTTATGTTGAATGGTGGAGACCCTATTTAGATTTCACAACCAATTTCGTTGGGTGGTGGAAGAGGTTGTAGTGAAATTCGCTACCAGTCTTGTGTTTACGCTGGTTGGCTGAGGAGATGTTCAAGTGAAGAGAAGAAGAGTGCACCCTATCGGGTGTCTTCGTGATGTGTTGCGTCAAGATTTGATATGTTATCTTGATATATGTTTGGCTGAAGATTTGTATTCGATGTTCTGATATTTGCTGGTCAATATTTGATTTGATATGTTGACAGGTTTTGTTCGGTGTACGGGCGGCTTTTGGCCGGTCGAGCCAACAGGCGCGTCCGTGAATATTCTGGAGGTTTGCTGCAGACTTGGCTACGCACTCTTCAGCCACAGTTTCTTTTTCCTGTGTGAGAATTGTATATGCGAGGGTGTAAGATTTTGGGTGGTAATGGATTATTATGCCCTTCTGCCCATTGCCGTTGTGGCTCACAAGCTGGCTGGAGGGTGGGCGCACCTACTCACGGTTTGGCCAGAGCACGGGGATAACCATATTTGTTGTATTATTTTTTTGTGCTTGCATCAAGTGCAGGTCGGAGGGCTATTGTGATCTATCTTTACAGATCGTATTGATGGCTTGTGGGGGTGATGACGGTTGGTTTTGGCGATGATGGTGTTGACGGTTTGTGGGGATGATGCTGATGGTTTATGGTGGTTCTGATGTAGATGATGCTGATTATGATGAGGTGGATGATGATGGTGGTGGTGATGATGATGCCGATGATGATGCTGATGATGGTGCTGTTGGTGATGATGGTATTGGTGGCGATGATGGTGATGATGCTGGTGGTGATGATGACGCTGATGATGTTGATGCTGCTGATGATGATGACGACGATGATGGTGATACTGATGTTGTTGATGTTGATGCTGATGTTGATGATGATGATGATGATGATGATGATGGTGATGGTGCTTGTGGTGATAATGAATATGATGCTGCTCTTGCTGATGACGATGACCATGATGCGGATGATGATTTGGATGCTGGTGTTGACGCTGGTGTTGATGCGCTTGCTGGTTATACGGGTGATACGGATGGTGATGATGACGATGACGCCGATGATGCCGGTGATGATGCTGCTGATGCTGATGATGATATGGAGGAAGAGGAGGAGGATGAGGAGGAGGGAGGAAGAGGGAGACAAGGAGCGGGAGGAGGAGGAACAGGAGGAGGAGGGGGGGGAGGAGGGAGGAGAAGGAGACGGAAGGAAAAGAGGAGGAGGAGGAGGTGAGGGGAGGAGGAGGAGGAGGAGGAGGAGGAGGAGGAGGAGGAGGAGGAGGAGGAGGAGGAGGAGGAGGAGGAGGGAGGAGGAGGAGGAGGGAGGAGGAGGAGGAGGAGAGGAGGAGGAGGAGGAGGAGGAGGAGGAGGAGGAGGAGGAGGAGGAGGAGGAGGAGGAGGAGGAGGAGGAGGAGAGGAGGAGGAGGAGGAGGAGGAGGAGGAGGAGGAGGAGGAGGAGAGGAGGAGGAGGGGAGGGAGGAGGAGGGAGGAGGGAGGGAGGAGGAGGAGGGGAGGAGGAGGAGGAGGAGGAGGAGGGGAGGAGGAGGAGGAGGCGGAGGAGGAGGAGGAGGGAGGAGGAGGAGGAGGAGGAGGAGGAGGAGAGAGGAGGGAGGAGGAGGAGGAGGGAGGAGGAGGAGGAGGAGGAGGAGGAGGAGGAGGGGGAGGGAGGAGGAGGAGGGAGGAGGAGGAGGAGGAGGAGGAGGAGGAGCCTTCGCGTCCTGGTCCTTGCCCTCATGAGGACGACCAGCTGCTGGTTCTGAACGCCCAACTGTCGCAGTGCCTGGGCGACGACGAGAAGGCGAAGGAGCTGATCGCGGAGCAGGCCGCCGCGCTTCGGCTCCCGCCGATTTTCCCCTTGCCGTCGTCCTCGTCCTCGTGCCTTCTCGTCGTCGTCCTCTTTTCCCTCCCTCCCTCCCTCCCTCCCTCCTCCTCCCTCCTTCTCTTCCTCCTACTCCTCCTCCTCCTCCTCCTCCTTCCTCCTCCTGCCTACTCATGCCTACTCTTCCCTACTCCTTCCTACCCCTCGTCATCAGGGCCTGGCGCGTCAGCGTGCGCCAGGTCCCGATGACGGCTTCCCGCATTTACGCGTCTTTTCTGCGTTCCTTCTTTCCCCCTTCCTTCCTCCCTCCTCTTCCTCCCTCCTCTTCCCTCCCTCCCTGCCTCCGTCCCTCCTTCTGCCCTTTCCTCCTCTTCCCCCCTCCTTCCCTGCTGCCGCTGCTCCTCTTCTCTCCACCGGCTGATCACGGTGGCAAGTGCTGTAGGAGTCTACGCCGCTGCTGCTCATGCTGCCGATCCTCCTCCTTCCCCCTCTCCTCCTCCGCCCTCTCCCGACGTGGCCCTGCTCGACCAGCCGCCGCAGCCTCCGCAGGCGCGCCCAGAGGCTGGATGGGAGCCTTGCGAGGTAGTGATGAACAGGGCCGGGTCGTCCTGCCCGCTGCCGCCCACTGGCCAGTTCGCTCTTCCCTCCGCCCTCCCCCTGAAGGCCAGCTCGCCCCTTGAATGTCTCTGGCTTTGCGGGCTAGGTTGTTTCCTCTAGCCCTCGACTGCCATGTCAGCCTTGAGGGCTTTTGTCGGCAGCACTGCGTCCACAGCTGGGCAGGACTTCGTGCCCATGCCTCCGTCCCCACCACCACCCCTGGAGGCACCGAGGCCCGACGCCGCCTGACGCCCGCCGCCGATCGCTCCTCACTCGCAGGGAGCGCGCCGAAACCAAGGGAGGGCTCCCCCCGACCTCCGACGCCATGCTGTTGTTTCGCGGGCGACCTCTCGCCCCCAATCTCCGAGATCCACCCCGAAACATTTGCCGCTTGGGAAAGGAAGGGAACTCGGGAGTACAACTCCACGGCGGGCTACTCGGACGCACCCCATGTCGAGGATGGGCGCCGCCCATCGCAGATCCCCGAGTCGGGCCCTACTTTGCTTGGCGAGGGTGGGACGGTCCCCCGATGTCGGGGACTGCGGTTGCTAAGCTTGTTTTTGTTTTCCAATCAGGGGACCCCCTGTGCTCTCGACCCCCTGTCCCTGGCGCTAGTGTTTCCGTCCGCACCTCGTTTTGACTGCCCCCCTCCTCCTGTCCTCCGCGCCGCCGCCCTGTTCCCGTTCTCCCCTCTTGCACGCCGGCCAATTCGCCTTTCGGTCGCCCCGAGTCGCCACCCGCTGCAGAAGCTTCTCAGCCTCGCCGCTGACGGCAAAAGCTTTGATTGCCCCGTAGCCCGGAACGGGTCTCGGTAGGCCGGGGCCGGTTTTTCTTTGCCCCCAAAGGAGTTGTTGTTGCGCGTGCCCTTTCGCAAACAACATCTGACGGACAGCCGCCAGAGTTTAGTTGATCGGTTCTCCCAAAAGTTTCGTCAGAATTGTCGGGATCAATTTGAAGTCGCGCAGCAGGGGGGCTTGGCACCGCACTCCAAACTTGAAGCAAGCGCATCGACGAGCGCGGGCAGGGGGCCGTTCAGCCAAGGGCCCAGTGCACCCGTCAACTTCGAAGGGGCTGCTCAACAAAAAGCCCAATACCCAATGTGCCTCCAAATTTTGAGGGGCCGCTCAACCTGACTGATCGTCGAACGCCACCTGGCGGCGTCGCGTCAATTGCGACGCGATGTCCGCATCTACTTCCGAAGCGCAGCCTTTCGCGCTTGCGGGCTCTACGACTGCGCACCTGCGCGATCTCGGCGGAGTTGCGACAAGAATCCACCGATGATGCCCGCGCGCTATTTGTCAGCGCATCGGATGTGCCCAGGTTCTTGCTGGCGGGACAAGAAGAACCCGCGCCATGTGGTCCCACCTCGTGTTCATCGCGCAGGGTGCGCCCAGGTTCACTTGTTGTTATGGAAGACATGTGTGTAACAACTTGTGGAACTTGCCAAGACAGCACGAAGCTGGGCGTATTTAGTGCGATGCAGTTTAAGGCTGGGTCGCATGACGCAGGTTTCTGTTGCGCCGCCAGCACGATCTCAAGCGCTTCCAATGTGGTAAACCATACTATCTTGCGCCACCTGGATGGTGTTGCAGCCCGTCCGAGAAGAGCGAAAGTGCACGGCGTGCGGTGAACACCATCATCCACGCGCCAGCGGCAGACCCTCGCTTCCACGCCACCCCAACGTGCAGCTGCTGGAATACCTGGCGACCTGGCGCAGGCCCCAAACACTTGCTTTCGGAAACCAATCAGGAAGCCTTCGCAAGGCGTTGCCCACCGCGCTTCTGTAGCAAACTGTCTGGCTGCCTGCGAAGGCCCGATGTGCTAGCAGTGGCAAGCTCGCTCTAGCGAGCACGGCGGAAATCAGCGAACATCGCGATCATAATTCATTCCGCACTTGCGCTCTCAGCAACCCCCAGTCACAAGGCCACCCACACAGCGGACAAATCTCGTCATACTTTCCAGCGGAAACAAGGCAAGTCGCGCAGCAGGGGGCTTGCCCCCGCCCTCCAAAGTGAAGCAGCCGCATCGACGAACGCGGGCGGGGTAGGCGATCAGCCAAGAGCCCAGTTTGTCCGTCAACTTTGAAGGGGCCGCTCAACAACGAGTTGCCCAATGCCCAGTGCGCCTACCAACTGTGACGGGGCCGATCGTCATATCAAAAGGCGAACGTCGGCGTCGCGTTATTGCGACGAGACCTTGATCAGTTTTGGTTTGCAACTTGTACTCTATGAGCCAGAGGGTCTCCGACATCAACATATCAACAATTTGATGCATTCGCTGGTCAGGTGCGTTCCGTGCGCGTGGCGGCGCACACCTGCAGGCGTCCTCAAATACGAATGGAACGACGCCAGGATCGACAGGCTTGACGATGTCGGAGATCTCCCAAATCCTGCTCAAAGCCCCTATCAGACCCCTTCCACGGCCAATCCTGGCAATTTTTGCTAGCTGCGTCGAGCCGTGGCCACGAGGGACACCCTCAGGAAGCCAGATGAGGAAGAGGAGGATAAAGAGGACGGCGACGACGGCGAGGACGAGGACGACGTGGATGACGACGAAGAATACGACGACGACGACGTCGACGTCGACGACGACGACGGACGCCGAAATCCGATCAAAATTGATCCCCAGACCCCCTTCGGGGCTCATCCTGACTTGTTTTGCAACCTGGGTAGATGTTGGACAGCCTCGGGGCCAGGCACGTCCCCCCGAGGCCGGAAATTGTTAAAAGTGGTTCAAATCTCGGTCACGTGAAGTTCGGGCGCGTGCGCCCTCGGCCGCCCAAGCGGTACCTCACCGGGAGGCTACGTTCTTTCGGAGGTCGCGAGAGGAGGGGGTGGGGGCCCTCGAGGTTGCCGCGTGCGCCTTCTCTGGCATCCTGACGTGGCCTCTCCGCCCTCCTCTCCAGACCTCCTCGCGTCGTGGACAGTTCGCGTCGGAGGGTTTCTGTCTGGTTTGGTCGTTCGTATTTTTGTTGCCTCGGGGGGCCGCTTCCGTGCCCCTGTCAACCAAGAACGGATCGGGATGAAATGCTGGTCCCGGGGAACGGGTCTAGTCTCCGGGAATCCACGTTGTGAGAAAATCGCGGCCTCGGAGGTCTGGGTCCGCCGCCTCCACGTGGGCGTTGCACAGGGACGCTGCGCCTTCGAGGGATCGAAAGGGTTGACTTCTCTTCTTCGCTGGAAGGTGGCGGGAGCAACATGTGCCTCCCAAGAGATGGCAAGTTTCTTGGGTTCCAGATTTCTGGATCTGACCGTTTCGAGTAGTTATCAAGGTTCGAGTTGTTTAACATTTGTTTCGTATTTTCTGGGTCTTGGGGACGCTTCTCGTCGCCACGGACCCGGATTCCCTTTGAAGTTCTGGTCGAGACGCACCCCTGGAGATGTTTGCGGATCGATCCTCCTCCTCCTCCTCCTCCTCCTCCTCCTCCTCCTCCTCCTCCCTCTCCCCCTCTCACTCCCCATTCCTCTCCCCCTCCTCCTTTTCCTCCTCCTCCTCCTCCTCCCCCTCCTCCTCCTCTTCCTCCTCCTCCTTCTTCTCCATCTCTTCTTCTTCTTCTTCTTCTTCTTTCTCCTCCTCCTCCACCCCTCTTCCTCATGAACAACTTCTCCTCGTCCCACCACCTGGCGTGTCGGTAGTTCAGGCGGGGCGTGTCGCCTAAGATTTGCTCACCGCTTATTATCCTGAAGCTTGAAACTTCCATCTGTGACAATCGATCCCGCTGGAGTCTCTTTGGGGAGCCTGGTGGCTGGCGCCCTGGGCCGTATCCCAGTCGAGGCGACGCTCGGAAATATGTCAGGCGAGTGCCTGCGGCGGGGTTTCCGTGTATACGAGACCCAATACATTGCTATTGCCAAATGGTCAGTCTTTTGATGTGGGTGCCGCGGCAAGCCAGGGAGGAAAAACGCCGGCATATTTCCGCCGAAGGTCCTGGGAGGCCAAAGATCTCTGTAACCAAAGACGTTGGTGGAGCCAGCGTCATCGTACTCGGGTGCTGGACTTGGGCGGCGCAGCTCTCACCCTGGCAAGGCGACTGCTGGCTCCCAAGCCGAAGAACGCAGCTGAACAGCTATAGCGTTCATGCTGGGCGCGCAGATACGAGACTGACAGCCCGTCGTCCGAGGCAGCGGTGGCATGATGGAGCTCGGTTTGCTGTAAAACTCGTGTTGCCCGCCTTGCATGCCGTTCCTTAGTTATCCTTCCTGAGCCTCTGCCCTCACCCTCTCTCCATCGCACGGGCGTGACATATTTCAGCATTTAGGCCTGATCAGTCAGCAGTGGGCTCTCTTGGCGCTCTTCTTCGCGTAGTGTGTGTGTGTGTGTTTTGCGCACGCTGCCTGCGGTGTCATCCCGCCTTCTGATTCTGATTCTGATCAGTGACAAAGATGGAGTGAGTTGTGTGTTCCATGATTTGTGTTAAAACGTCGTCGTTGTCGCTTCAGCGCCGCGCGCGTTCTTTTTTAAACATCCTCCAGTTGTTTTAAGAATGAACGGCGGGCGGCTTTCAAAATATGGCCCTCGCCCCTGCGCCGCACACATTCGTCATACAAGTTTCCAGCAGCACAAGGATGGAGGGCAATTGAGCTTCTCGATTTGGACTCACCCAGCAAATTTGCGAGTGTGTGAAGTTGAGCACAGCTACGCGGATGGAGGGCTCTTATTTGAGCAGTGGGTTTCCACTCGAGACTTCCTGAGCAAATTTGACCAGCCGTGTAAAGTTTCGCAGCGGCCGCACGCACGGAGGGCGGCTCCCTTTCAACGTCGGGTTCGCGCCGGAGGCTTCCTGCTCAGATGGGGCCAGGTGTGTAAAACCGTACAATGGCTGCACGGATTGAGGGCGGCTCCTTCTCAAAGCGAGGCTCTCGCTGGAAACTTCCTTGAACTTTCCTGATCCTACCTCTTCGCGGTCCTCATAGACAGAATAAGCTAGGGCGTTCAATTGGGTTCTCGCCTCAATAGTGATTGGCCCACCGAGAGCTCGTGCTTCGAGGGGGCATTTCCCCCAGTGATAATGGATACTTGTAAGGACTTTGAGACGGGAGTGCGTGTGTGTGTGTGTGTGTGTGTGTGTGTGTGTGTGTGTGTGTGTTGCAGCATTGTTGATGCATGATGGGTCAACTCTGGTCCTGCTTCTCTCCCTTCTCTTCTGCCTCCTCCTCCTCCTCCTCCTCCTCCGCGTCTCCCTCCTCCTCCTCCTCCTCCTCCTCCTCCTCCTCCTCCTCCTCGCCCCCCCTGGCAATCGAGCCCTCCTCGTCCCCCCTGGCAATAGAAACAAGATGGGCCAGCTGGAACCCCAAGCCCGCCACTCTCTCTCCTTTGTCCTCCTCCTTTTCGTCCCGCCCCTGGAGCCCCATAGATTGCCCTGGGTCCCCTCTGTTCTCCAGAGGTCCGCGGATGCCTCCAGAGGCTTCCAAGGGCGTCTGGATGCCCCAACTAATCACCGAACGCCGAACATCTTAAGCTACATTTGGATCGTCGGTCCTTTTCCTCCTCCGCTAGAGCGAAGAGCCGCGGGCAGGTCCGGCGCCTGGAGGACGCGAAGAAGAAGGCCATAGAGCTGGAGAAGCAGGCGAGCAGAAGGGCAAATGCCGCCGTCGTCGTGGTCGTCGTGGTCGTCGTGATCGTCGTGATCGTCATCGTCGTCGTCGTCGTCGGAATAGCAGGTGGAGGAGCAGGAGGAGAAGGAGGAGGGGGAGGAGGAGGAGGAGGAGGAGGCCGAGGAGGAGGGGGGATGGGGGAGGAGGTCTGTGGGAGCGGAGGTTTCGTGTTGGTCTAATTGGTCTTTGGGTTCGGGTCGGAGATTAGCTGCAAGTCCCAAGCCACGATGCGCAAGGCCCCCCAGAAGGCTCCACAGGCCCAAAAGATCGTTTTAGCCCGTGGGGTCTTTTGGGGGGCCTTGCGCGTCGGGGTTTTGAATCTTGTGTGATGTTTCGGCCTAAAGGACGCGGGCGCAGCGGAGCAGCGGAGCACTTCCGCCCCGCGCGCGCGCCCCGACAGAGCCCGGGGGTCCGACGCGCAAGGCCCCCCAAAAACTTCACAGGCCCAGGTCCAGAAGTGCGTACGTTTCTGACCTGGGGCGGTCGCAGCGGAGCAGCGGAGCGCTTTGCCCCGCGCGCACGCCCCAGCGGGGCCCGGGGGACCGGCGCGCAAGGCCCCCCAAGTGGTCCACAGGCCCAGATGCAGGTGTAGATTCCTGTGTTGGGGCGGGCGCAACAGAGCAGCGGAACACTTTCTCCCCGCGCGCACGCCCCAGCGGGGCCCAGGGAACCGACGCGTAGAAGGCCCCCCAAACGCTCCACAGGCCAAACTCAGGTGAAGATTCGTGATTTGGGGTAATTGGGCGCAGCGGCGCAGCGGAACACTTTCTCCCCGCGCGCGCGCGCCCCGGCATGGCCCGCGGGACCGAGTCACAAGCCGCCCAAAGAACTCCACAGGCCCAAACCCAAGTGTAGATTACTGACGTGGGGCAGGCGCAGATGAGCAGCGGAGCACTTTCGCCCCGCTGGCACGCCCCCGCAGGGCCCGGGGGACCGACGCGCACGTCCCAAAAGATTTCAGGCGGCCCGAACCCAGGTATAGATACCTGATTTGGGGCGGGCGGAGCGGAGCAGCGGAGCAATGTCGCTCCGCGCACGCGCCCCAGCAGGGCCCGAGGGACCGACGCGCAAAGCCAAAAAACAACTCCACAGGCCCAAGCCCCCAAGCCCAGGTGTAGATTCAACTTGGGGCGGGCGCAGCGGAAGACTTTGGCCCGGCGCACGCTCCCCGACACTTGGGAACCAAACCCAGGCGTAGATTCCTGACTCGGGGCGGGCAGCAGGCGGAGCTTCGTTTGGACCTTGCGCGTCGGGGTTTGGGGCTTGCTCTGGTCTACCGTGCTGGTTTGCCGTGCCGCCGTGGTGTCCAGCGCTGGTCTTCCATGCTGCTGTGGTCTGCTGTTGCGGTCTGCCGTGCTGGTCTGCCGTGCTTCTCTGGTCTGGCGTGCGCTGGTTTGCCGTGCTGCTGGGGTCTGCCGCGAGTGCAAGCGCAAGCGTAAGCGTCTGGGCGTGAAAGGCTCAAAGGAGAGGGCTTCCCTCTTCCAAAAAAGAGGCGGCCCTCACAGGCCTGGGCGCGGCGGAGGTGGGCCAGCCGAAAGGCGTGGCTTAGGGCCCCCCCCAAGACGCTGACGTCCCCCCACCAAGACGGCCGTCGGGCCTCCCGAAAACAGCCGAGCCTCCAAGACCAACACCCGAGAGGGTCACCAGCTGAGCTCTGGGCAGAGGCATTTGGCTACTAGGCGTGCGAAGCACGAAGATGAGCAACAGAAAACACACCGCTGAGCAAATAAGCAGGCGACAGCCTCTCGAGTGAAAATGCAAGACGCTGCAAACGAGGAACGACACTGCGAAATACAGCAAGCTCATCACTTAACAACAAGCTCATCTCGCACTCACGTTCCCGCTACATCACGACTCCCTTAATTGCTCTCGGATTTGGCGCCGCGGAGCTCCAGGCGCCGACGCACTCTGTGCCTCTCGACGGCGCCCTGGGCAGCTGCCACCATCTCCGCCATCTCTGACGGCTCCACGCCGAAGGCCGCCAGGTGCGTGGCACCTGGCTCTGGCGCCGCGCCGCCGCTGGAAGGAGTGTCCTCCCTGCCGGCAGGGGCTGCCGCGCCCGCCGCCGAGCTGCTGGCGCCCTGCTCGCTGCCCTCCCCTCCTGCAGCTGCCTCCGCCTGGATGCCGAGCCACTGCATGCAGCGCTCCTGGGCGGCATCGGGCACGGCGCTCTGCTGTCGCAGGCGGGGGACCTCCTGGCCCTTCAGCCGCTGCTTGGACTGCCTCGGCCGCCCTCCAGGATGGAGCCCGCGGGCCCAGAGGCTCCTCTGGTTGCGCCCGCTCTTGTCGGTCTTGTCCCCGACGCAGGCTTCCTTGAGGCGCGGCTTCGCCCCAGAGCGGCCGCGCGCACTTGGAGCATGCCACCTGTAGCTCCTGTTCGTCGTCACTTTCGCCGCCGACCGCGCAGCAGAGGGAGTGGCCCAGGATGCACCAGGCCACCGCGCCCGTGCTGATGGCTACCGCGCAGCCCTTGGCCGCCGAGCGGGCGCTCGCAAGGCGCGGCCGCTTGGCTTCAGGTTCGTCAGCACACTGGCGCCCAGGCAGCTGCGGCGGAGGGGCTCCTCGAACCGCACTCGGCGGCGCTCCTCAGCGTGTGGTGAGCCCTCGCAGTCCTTGGCGGCGATCCCCTGCCAGACGACCGCGGCCTGCCCGATCCAGCGTGCCAGTTCGTGGACCACATCCGCCAGCGTGTGGTGTTCGCCTATGGCTTGGTCGTCCACCGCGTGGAGCCTGGCGCCCAGCTTGGCGAGGCGGTTGGCGTGCTCGCTGCCTCGGCGCTGAGCTTCCGCGAGGAGCCCATCCAGCACCGCGCGCCTGCTGTAGCGTGCTGGCACCTTCCGCGCGGCGAAGGCTCCTGGCTCGAAGGCGGCGTGGATCCTGGTCCAGAGGTGCGCGTTGGGCCTGCTGGGCGCCGTGGCATACGCGCGACCCTTCTGAGGCAGGGGACCGTGGAGCTGCTGCCGATGTTGACTGACCTCCTCCGCTCCTGCCCCAGAATAGTTGACCAGCATCCAGACCGCGAGGTCCTCGCCATCCTGGGCCGTTTCTGGGGGCAGTGGTCGCGCCTGACCGAGCCGTGCACACCCGACATCAGGTTGCCATCACCACCGCAGTGCACAATCGACCACCCTGCATGGCGCAGGGAGCCATAGCTGGGCTCCAAAGCCGAGCCGTCCAGGTACAGCTTCCTTTTGAGCTTATCATCTGGAGGCCTGAGCATCCACCACATGCTCATGGCATCGGTGCGGCGGCCCTGCGGCGGTGGTGCAGGCAGCCAGCAGCGTGCAAAGTTCTCTTCTGCTGCCTCGCCTCGCGCGCGGACTCGCTCTGCGCGGCGCTGCAGGCGTGGCGAGACGCTGTCTCTCCGCTGGGCCGCCAGGACGGGGCGCGCGAAGAGGCGGTGTCGAGAGCGCCACGCTCTGCTCCGCAGCGGCAGCATCTCGAGTGGCCGCGCTCCCCCGCGTCGTAGAGCCTGGCCTGCGCCCACTGCGCATTGGAGATGTAGGCGAACAGCGCGCGCTGATCTCGTTTGCCCAAGTCCCCGCCAGGCCCCAGACGCGGCGCTATGACGCCCCAAAAGAGGGGCCCATGCCAGAAGCCCCCATGCGCCAGCTTGCTCATCTCATGGCGGCACGCAGCACGCCTGGTCACTAGGGCCGCCTCCACGCCGAGCTCGCGGGGGCTGAGGAGCACGAGGTCCAGCTCGTCGCCCTGGTCGGTGACGAGGATCCGCTCGGACGCAAAGTGCCGCCCGATCCTGGCCACGGTGAGCGCTGCCGCGTCGACTGGGGGTGCGCAGCGCGCCCGCGGCGAGTCGGCCTCGGCGTGCTATGCGGCGGCGGCGTCCAGGCTGCGGCTAAACATGCTCAGGGGCAGCTCTCCCGACTGCAGCAGCGCCGCCGTCGTCTGGACCGCGGCTCCTAGCGGCGAGCGCGGCAGGGCCAAGGTCGCGGCCTCGCCTGAGCTCGAGGCAGCGCAGCCGCAGGCCCAGGGCGGATCCGTTCGGCTGGCGCCCAGCGCTGCGGGCAGCCGTGAGCCTCCAGCAGTGCAGCTCGCCGCCCGCGATGCCCGTCACCGCGCGCCCCCAGATCCTGCCGGCCACGGCCCTGCCTCGTGGATCATGTCCACCTCAGCGCCAGCAGCCTGCAGGCATTGCAGCCCGCGGGCGCGGCTGAGGGCTCCAGCTGCTCGAGCGCGACCCTCGTGGACTCCTCGCCCGGTGACGTTGGCGTCGGCGCGGGGGCTCCTGGCTTGGAGGGCGCGCTTGGACTCCCAGCCTCGTTCCTTCCAGCGGCTGCCTAGCTGCCGCGGCAGGCCGGGGCTGGACGCGAGAAGCGACGTTCTGGCAGCGCTGTGGGGGAGATGCTGCCCCCCAAGGAGCCGCGCGACTTCGACCCCAGCGCTGCCGCGTCGGGCGGCCACCGGCCGCTCTGTGCCAGCGGCTGCAGCTCTATGTCGTTCACGGCGTGGCTAGCGACTACCAGCGGCCTGCCGCCCGCAGAGGCGGCGCGGAGCGCCCCAAGCGCAGGCAGCCTGGCAACGGTGGCGGCGCGCGCAGCCCGCCAGCGCCCCCCGCGCGCAGGAAGGCTCCGACGCCAGGCCGACCAAGCCGGTCGGGCTCTGGTACATCGCCAGGAGCCCTCGCAGCAGGCGCAGATTGAAGCCGCGCTCGATGCCGCTGCTCCAGAGGACATCGCGCCGCAGGTTCTCGTGGAACTTCGTGATGTCCAGGAAGAGGCTGCCAGCGGCGAAACCGCTAACCCCGGCGAAGGCGGCGTAGGCGTTGTGGCGCCATCCAGCCCCCTCGCAGCCTCGCTCGGCCTTGCCTTGGAAGAAGCGGCAGTCGTGATCCGCCTCCCACAGTGCGCAGATGGCCTGGCGCAGCCTGCTCCAGGTCCGCAGCTCCAGCGGAATGAGGGCGATCGGCCGAACCCCGCCGCCGTGCTTCGGGATGAAGACCCACCGTGGTCGCCATCGCCCCCGGCGCCTGTGGATGCTCCTCAAAAGCCCCCCGGACGTCCGAGCACTTGAGCTGGAGGGCGACGGGGGGGGAGGAGCCGGCGCGGGCGAAGCGGGCCTGCGCCGAGGCCAGCAGCGGGCGAGCGCCGCCTGCAAGCCACCTGGGGCATCTCCATGGCGATGGCGGGCCACTGCCACCATGCCAGCAAGAGGCCTTCCAGCGTCAGGGTGGGCGACCTGCGGCGGCGGCGCTGCCTTGGCGAACCTGCGCGCGAGCCGCCCGTCCTTCTGGATTGCCTCCTTGGCCCATGCACGCCAGGACGCAGCGCTCTGGGCCCCATCTCGCCGCTGAGAGCCAGCATGGCGCGTCTGCAAGACTGCGATGACACCTTCGTGTCCATGTGGTCTCCAGCTTGCCCTGTCAGGTCGCGCCACTCGCTGGTGTCGAAGCTGAGGGCCCCCACCTCATCCTCGATGCAAGCTGCGGCGGTGGCCCCCTCCAGCAGGGCGGCGCAGCGGTCGGCCAGCTGCTCGTGCCAGCGCTGGTGGGTGGCGTGCCATCTGCGCGCGCGCCTTGCCGTGAGGCGCTGCAGCGCAACGCCCAGCGCCTGGCGAATGCGGCGCGCGAGGGCGGAGTGCTTGTGGCTGTGCTCCTGCTTGGCGAGGGTCTCTCGACGGCTTGAGGGCTCGACGAGGCCCGTCAGCCCTGCCGAGGTACCGCTTGAGTTCCGCGGTCCTGATGACGTGGGCGCCGACGAGCGCGCCCTCGACGGCATGCGTCCAATGGCGGACCGCGGCAGCGAAGTCGGGGGGGCGGCTGCCGACCTCGCAGTGCCAGCGGACTGGCTTGGTCTCCCACTTGGCGCGCACCGCGCGTCGGCAGAGCTGCGTCTCCGCATCCTCGTGGGCCTTGCAGTCCTCCGCGTCGACGTCGGGGAAACGCGCTGGCCTGGCCAGCGCCCGGGCCAGCGCCAGCGCGTCGGGCCTGGCGTCCTGCAGCAGGAGATGCGCGGGCTTATGCGGGAAGAGCACGGAGCCGTCCAGCACTTCCGCGGTGGCGACGCCGCGGGCGAGGCAGTGCGAGCTAGCGAACCTGTCGTAGACGTGCTCGGCGCCCTGGGCGATGCACGTCGGCTCCGCTGGCCCCAGGTGAGCGCCGCGCTGCGCCCTGGGCCACCCGAGCTCGCTGAGGGTGCCCGGCGCCATGTTGAAGTCGCTCTGCGTCAGCCGCGGCAGCCCCGCGGGCAGCACCATGCCACCGAAGACTGCGAACACTTCCAAATTGATGCCCTTGGGCCCGAGGGAGTCCTGGACGTATAGCGACGACGCCAGCATCTCGAGGCCCGAGGCCGCGGAGACGGTCACCCTGATCATGCGCTGCTTGAGGTCGCTGTGGACCTGCCGCTGGACCTTGCTGGCCTGGGCCCGATCTCGCGAGGTCCGCCGCGCCGCCAGAGTGGGCCAGCGGCCCGTCGTTGCCCGGGGGGGCCGCCGCGTGCAGAAAGGCCGCGTCGCCCAGTCCCTTGGCGCGCCCTGCAGCCTGTCCCAGCTGCTGAGGCGCCGAGCGGATCTCCTGGAGCATCACCAGGTGCGGCCGCTCAGCGCGCGCGCTGGACGTGTTGCCGTTGATCCCGAGGACCTCCAGGGCGCTTCTGGCATCTAGCTGCTCTGCTGCAGCTGCTCTTGGCACCGGGTGGCTGCCCGCTGACGCCGCGCGACTGAGGGCCTGCGGACTGCCGCCACCCATGCGGGCGGCGTTGGCGGCTGGGCTAAAACGCTTGGGTTCCCAGCAGAGGCTGCTCCGCCGCTGCCAGCGTTAGCGCGGCGCGCTGCAGCATCAGCAAGAGGATGGTCATCAGTCGCCTCGGCTGCCAGCTCGCGGCCGCAGACCTGTGCGACTTAGGGCCAGCTGCCCAGCGCGGCGCCTCGGCGCCCCGCCTGCCCGCGCTCCTCCGCTGGCTGGGCCCTGGGCCCCCCGAAGCCGCCGCTGGCCATGGGGGCGTCGCGGCCGTCGTCATCGCTGCTGGCCAGGTCCTCCATGGGGCAGCTACCCGCCCAGCCCTCGCGCTTCGGCCGCTCGGGTGGCCCCGCGAGCAGCTTACGCACTGCCGCCATCTGCTTGAGGATCGACTTCCACGTCGTCTCGAAGTTGCTGCTGCCTGGGACCTGGCTGGTCTCCGCCCAGGCCGCAGCACGGCGCCGCTCCTCCGCCTCCTCCTCCTCCGCTCGGGCCGTGACTTCGAGGACCTGGGGGTCGCGGATGGCCTCCTCCAGACCGTTGTCGATCGCCGCCGGCTCCTCCTGCGCCTTCTGGAGCTGGGCCTCGGCGGCCTCGCGGGCTGCGCGCGGCTCCTCTGGGCCCTTGCGAGCCGCGCGCAGGCGCCTCTCGTTCTTGCTGATGGCGTTGGTCTCCTTGCGCGGCTGAGCCGAGCGCGGCAGCGTGGGCGCCTTGCGGTCCGCGGCCCCCCGCTCCGCCGCCGCGAGCTCGCTGCGCCTGGCCTCAATCTGGTTGGCCACCACGTCGGTGAAGCAGCTGTCCGCGCAGTCAGGCGTGAGCGCCTCGAGCAGCTCGACCGCGGCCTGGGGCCTCGCGATGGAGGTCGGCCCCCCGCCGCTGGAGGAAGGACCGCTGGCCGCCGACGCCTGCGAAGCCGAGCGGGCCCTGGCCGCCGCGCCGCGCGCCTGCCGCTGGGCACAGCGCCCGCGCGGCTGGGCCACCCAGCCGTCGCTGTCGGGCTTGGGCTTCGGTGGCTGCGGGGCGCTCGCCTGCTCGCTGCCGCCTTGGGCCCAGGGCGGCGCAGCCTTGCCGCGGGCGAGGCAGGCGCGGCGCCAGTCCCAGTTCCAGCCGCCGCAGCCGCACGCCCAGTACAGCTTGCTGCCGCCGCCGCCGCCACCGCGCGAGGGACGCGCCATTGCACCTGCCGCGCAGAGCGGGTGCGGCCGCCGCGTCCTTGCAGAAACCAATATCGAAACCTTTGATTCAATTGGCCTAGAGCGAAGAGCCCCTCGCGTTCAGAGCGCCGCGGGCAACTCGCGGTCGTCGGGTGCTCCGTGGCCCTAAGCCAACATGGCTACGGTGGTCAGCCGTGCTGACTTGCCGTGCTGCTGTGGTCTGCCGTGCTGGTCAGCCGTGCTGCTCTGCCGCGTTCGTGTGGTCAGCGGTGGGGTCTGCCGTGTTGCTATGGTCTGCCGTGTTGGTCTGCCGTGCTGCTATGGTCTGCCGTGTTCCTCTGGTCGCCCGTGCTGGTCTGCCGTGTTCCTCTGGTCTACCGTGCTGCTGTGGTCAGCCGTGCTGGTCTACCATGCTGCTGTGGTTTGCCGTGCTGCTGTGTTCTGCCGTGCTCCTATGGGGGCGGATCCTCCAACATTCCCATTTGGGGAGGATGTCTCGGGCGAAACGTTTGCATTTCCACACGTCGGTGCCGGCACATTAGTTTTTATGTGAGGACGTTCCGATCGAAATCGCAATTCTCGTTTGTCTTGAGGGCGCTTTTGACTCTATCATTGGGCCTGAGTTGGGCTCCGGTGGGCCGCCTTGGTGCCTACAAAAAAATGGATCCAACCCGATTTCACAATCGTCGACCTTTTGGATGCCCCTGGCGAAATGGCCATGTTTAGAATGCTGGTTTCCGTCGTGACGCCTTTCGAGAGCGATGCCACGACGATGTCAGACACGATGTTTGTTTGAAGCTATGCTATCGTATCTGCATGCGTTGAGGATGTCCCGTGCGAAATCGACATTTTCGGCAGCCTTCAGGGCGCTCTTGAAGCCATCTTGGGGTAATGTGTCGGCTCTGGTTTCTTTGTCTCCAAACTTTTCGAGAGCATCAAACGATGTTGGCAGCATCCCATTTGGTTGAGGATGTCCATAGCGAAATGGGAACTTTTAGAAGCGACGTCGAAACATAAGTATGTGCTGGCTGCTGTACCCCTGTGGTCTGCCTTGCTCTTGAGGTCAGCCGTACTACTGTGGTCTGCCGTATTCTTGTGGTCTGTTCCTGTGGTCTGCCGTGCTCATTTGGCGCCTGGAATCCAACACGTGGGGGTCGGGGCCACGCGTAGGGGCGGAGCCGAAGGCTCCTAACCCCCTCACCACAGTGGCCAGGCCCGCCGTCGACCCCACACTCCATCCGAATCTTCGAGGGGCACTACACCCGACGCAGAAACAGGAGAAGAGTGGTGGACCCCGACCACATGGGGAAGGTACCCGACGTACCGTTCGACCTCACGACCAGAAGCGACACATATAACCAAAATGGTGGGGGGAGGGGCGTGGATTGAGCCCACATTGCTTCGGATGGTATCGTTGCGGGCAGGACGATGACGGCGGCGAGGGTGACGGCGATGGCGACGACGTATCGCCCCCGACCATACTGCGCGATCCTCCACATTGCGCCCCTCGCGCGCTTCTTCTCCAGATGCATGTTCCCTGCTGGATTTGGCTCGTAAGGTGGCATGGGAACACGACTTACAGGGCACTTTCTTATTCTAAGCCGCTCGAAGCGGAACGTTCGTACGCCCCAGTGCCGTACAATGCTTTTGGGCACAGGAACTGGTATGGCTGCTGATGTTTCCTCCCCAGCCCTCTGCAGTCTCGCTCCCAGGAGGTCCTAGTAGAAGCTCGAGGCGCACCAAGAGTGTCCGAAAGAGCCCCGACAGGGCCCTGCAAACAGACCCCAACACTATCTGACTGGGGTCCTTTGCGCCCCCTTGTGTGTTTATGTGCTTTCTGGGACTCTTTCGACGGCACTTCTTACCGGCTTGTGCGATGTGCCCGCGGCTTCGGGACATCTTCATTATGTACTGGACCAAGCAGACCAGCCCATGCGAGATTGAGCAGATCAATATGATCACCAAAATCTCAATGCGACAGAAATTGTTTTGATGTGGATGGGCCGCAAGTAAACAGACTTGACAGATCAGACCTGTCACCAAGATATCACCTGGACCAAGCAGACTAGCAAGACCAGGCAGTTAGACCAGCCAGGTAGACAAACCAGACCAGCCACTTAGACCAACCAGTCCAGCCAGACCAGCTGGCCGTTCAGACCAGCGAAGCCCAGATCAGACTAAGCAGGTCAACTTGCCAGGACCAAGCAGACAAGCCCAGACCATACTAAGGACTAAGCAGATCAACCTGACCGGACCAAGCAGACTAGCCAGACCAGCCAGACCAGCCAGCCAGACTAGCCAGCCAGACCAGCCAGCCTGGCGCCATACCAGCGCAGAACAACTGCAATGCAGAAACAACTGCAATGCAAAGATAATTGCAGTGCCACAAATGTTTTCGTGTCGTCGTCGCCGACATGTGCGCTGCGACCCTCCCTGAACCTCCTCAAATCGCGCTCGACTAGCACGCGAGGTCCTAAGCTGAAGTTCAAGCAGCGCCACTACAGCGCAAACAAGCACTGCAGGGCACAACTGACTGCAATGAAACAGATGCATTTCACAACAGACTGTGTTCGTGTAGTCGTCGCCGAAGTGTGCGCTTCAACCTCCCCTGAACCTCCCCACATCGCGCTTGGCTCGCACGCGAAATACGAAGCTCTAGCAGCGCCACTACAGCGCAAAAAGAGTTGCAATGCAGAAGAACACTGCGCTGCAAACAAACTTGTGTTTTCGTGTCGCCGTTGCCGATCTGTGCGCTTCACCACTTCCTCAACCTCCCCAACCACGCTTGGCGCCCATGCGGAATCTCAAACTCAAGCTCTTGCAGCGGCACTACAGCGCACGACAAAGCTGCAATGCAGACAAACCTGCGATGGCATAAACATTGCAATGCAACCTACATTTGTTGGTCCTCGTTTTGAAGAGACAGCGCCCAGCGTGCTCCTCTCCTCCTCTTCCTCCTCCTCCTCCTCCTCCCCCTTCTCCTCCTCCTCCTCCTCCTGCTCCTCCTCCTCCTCCTCCACCTCCTCCTCCTCCCTCTCCATCCTCCATCCTGCTATCAGTCGTGCTGATTCCATGCTCCATCCTGCTCCATTTCGCCATACCCCTGGCACGCTTGGTGGCCCCACAGGGGGCCCCACCGAAGGCCCCAGTGGCGGGGTTCGCATGCGTCCCCCCTCCCATTTCGGCACACCCCTCATACGCTTGATGCCCCCCTTGGGAGCTCCACCGAAAGGCCCCAGTGGCAGGGTTCGCATGCGTCCCCCCGCCCATTTCGGCACACCCCTCACATGTTTCGTGGCCCCAGAGGGGGCTCCACCGAAAAGCCCCAGTGGCAGGGTCCGCATGCGTCCCCCCGCCCATTTCGGCACACCCCTCACACGTTTCGTGGCCCCAAAGGGGGCTCCACCGAAGGCCCCAGTGGCAGGGTTCGCATGCGTCCCCCCGCCCATGTCGGCACACCCCATAGGGAGCTTCACCGAAGGCCCCAGTGGCAGGGCTGACAGGCGTCCCCGCGACTCATTCCGGCACACCTCTCACACGCTTTGTGGCCCCATAGGGAGCTCCACCGAAGGCGCCAGTGGCAGGGTCTACATGCGTCCCCGCGGCTCATTTCAGCGTACCCCTCACACGCTTCGTGGCCCCAGAGGGAGCTCCACCGAAAGCCCCAGTGGCAGGTTTCACATGCGCCCCCGCGATTCATGTCGTCACATTCCTCACACGTTTCGTGGCCCCCTAGAGAGCTCCACCGAAGGCCCCAGTGGCAGCGTTTACATGTATCCCCGCGATTCATTTCGGCGCACCCCTCACACGGTTCGTGGCCCAATAAGGAGCTCCATCCAAGGCTTCAGTGGCAGG